ACGAGCAAAATACCTACAAAAAACAGGAATTATGTTGTGTGTAGTGGCAACATCGACGAAAAAGTTGCCGTGAAAAAAAAAAGCAAAACAAACTGACGTCACCGTGCAACCCACGGGCAAATGGATCAAGCGCATGAGCCAATCAGAGCGCACGCTTTTGTAAAGCCATGTTATAAAGTTTTTTTTGCGTTAGTTCGTTTGTTGCAATTAAAGAACAGTTTTCAATGCACTCTTCTTTTCACATTCTGACCGAGAGTTTGTTCGTCTCTGCCCTTTATTGATTCAATTACCCTTCTAGTGAGCAGCGCAGTATTCATGTATTGACCTAAAAAGACTACTTCGATGAAAACGGGTTCACAGGAATAAGAGAATGCAACAATGAACTAACAACGATGAAAGAAGTGAACGACATAAATCGGGTTAACAAAAAGCGGATCAAGAGCAAGAACATCATTTCGAGATCGCTTATCATAGTAGTAAGACGGAAGAAAAGTACTGATGCAGTAAATGGCTTGAACACGGGGGGGTTAACATGTGAAAGTGTAGTGTGATCGTCGGGGTGAGTGTAGTCCTGAGAAGGACTGTTGTCGGTTGTAGTGACTGACGTTTCGACAACCTGTGCGGAAGTCATCATCAGAGTGAAGTCATCGCTCTGATGATGACTTCACTTTGCTATCACGCGATTTCGTGTGATAGCGGGAGGTGAGGTTTGTTTTGCATAGTTTTACGGTGGCCCATAGGGGACATGACACATCTTTTTTTACCGCGCGATAAATGATATATTATCGCGCGATAAACGGAAATTATCGCGCGATAAACGGAAATTATCGCGCGATAAATGGAAATTATCGCGCGATAAATGGAAATTATCGCGCGATAAATGGAAAATTATCGCGCGATAAATAAAGATTATCGCGCGATAAATGGAAATTATCGCGCCATAATTTTTAATATCGCGCGATAATTTATCATTTATCGCGTGATAAATGGAAACTTGTCAGGTCACGTAATCGGCTGTCATGCATGTTTTTTTCTGTGGACGACAATGACTGCCACAGTTGAGGAGCTATGTTTTGACGTCAATAGTTCGTTTTATTCATGTAAAAAGATCCTTTAGCAGTACGTTGCAATACTACGACACATAGCTCTGTGAATCAGTATAGTAAACCTTGATTTTGCGAAGTCCGAGCCCGTGGAAATTTTTTATTATTTATTTATATTTTGTGATAACTTTTAGATGATTGCATGGCTTACACTGTGACCTGACAAGTTTCCATTTATCACGCGATAAATGATAAATTATCGCGCGATAATAAATATTATCGCGCGATGAAAAAAATTATCGCGCGATAATTTATTATTTACCGCGCGATAATTTCCATTTATTTATCATTTATCGCGCGATAATCTCCATTTATCGCGCGATAATCTATCATTTATCGCGCCATAAAAAAAAAATGTGTCATGTCCCCTATGGGCCACCGTATAGTCATGTTATGCT